CGCTGCTTCTCCCCGGCGCCTCTTCTTCCGCCCGCCCGCCGCCTCCACGCGGGGCTCGGGCCGGCAGAAAGTGGTGGACGGCGTTACGGTGTGCCCTTGGCTCAAGCGAGGGGATTCTGTGCCGGTCGGAAGCTTGGGAAGGTGTTTTCAAAGCTGGGAAAGCCTTGAGCCTAGCAGTGGCCTTGCGTGTAGTCTCGTCAAACGATTGCTAATTCTTACTGCTCCCAGGTGTTCAAACGCTTCGTCGAGATCGGCAGAGTGGCCTTCATTTCCTTCGGGCCACATGCTGGCAAGCTGGTGGCCATTGTGGATGTTATTGACCAAAACAGGGTAAGCTGTTCCTGCTCAACGATTATTTTCTCCTTTTTGCCCTACCGGAAGCGTGTACACTAAGAGTGTATTGATTTTAAAGGATACTTTCTGTGAATAGATTTTTCAGAGACATAAGCAGTTGACTAAAACGTGGTTTAACAGCTGGTGTTGTATTTGAAACTTTCAGTAACAAGCTTTTTTCCCTGGCAAGTGACATGTTCCTCCCTCCACTGTGTTTCCTACAAGCGGACAAGTGATGTCAGCTGGAGTCTAAAACTTACAAATGGAGTAACGTTCATGTCTGTTTCAAGTAAATGTTTGGGCTAAGGGGCTGTTTTTGCTTAATGTTCCTGAAAAAGCTGGGATAAGAAAAAGATAAAGCATGTCATCTTAGTACTTTGTGCTTTTTTGAAGTTTGGGGTTTCCCCCCCACCCCACCCCCCCAAAGATGAGCCTTTAAAATTCTTTCTGTAAAACTTGAGTTGTATATGCAGGACTTAACAGTCTTGGGGTTTGTCTGCATCACATTTAGTTTGGGCCCACTGTTGTCAAGACACTGTTCATACCTTCTTAGGAAGCTGCTCTCTAAATCGAGTATGATGGGGAAAACTGCTACAATCCCCCGCATGTTCGCTTTTCTTTTCCAGGCGCTGGTGGATGGCCCCTGCAGCGGTGTCAGAAGGCAGGCTATGCCCTTCAAGTGCATGCAGCTGACTGACTTTGTTCTCAAATTCCCACACAGGTGAGGAGTTGGCATTTTTTTTTTTGGTTGTTAAAAATCCGTGCCATCACTTGATGACGGAATTACGTGATGTGATGCTTGCTAAATCTAGAAAGTTCATACAGCAGAAGTCAGTGGATTAACCGGCGTGCACAGTAAAAATTTTGGCAGCTTGTGTTGTCATAGTTGAATACAGTTAAGTTTTCGTTACCAATATTAGCTGACATCTGCTATTCAGGAGAAGAGGAAATAGCACGCTGGCTGGGTAACTTGCAGGTGGTTGTGGGGTGGATGGGGTGGGGGGAAGCAGTTGCAGTAAATAGTGTGTGGCTTTGGGTTTGATACTGCTTAGGTCACCTGAAGACATGAAGGATGTTCCCTGACTGCAGAACTATGCTGGAATTACAGGAGGCTGAATTCATTCTGTCCTCTTTAGCTTAGTTTCTGTATGTGTTTCTGTAATTTAGAAACAAAAATTGCTGCCTTTCTGATTTTGAAGCACTGCTGGGAATAGTATGTGAGTTTGCTTCTTGGAGTCACTCGTCTGTCAGTCCTAGCAAAGCATTTACACAACAAAATGTTAATTAGATGTATGTGGCATTGATTTAAAAGTAAGGTGCCTGAAGGGATCTAGAAGGATGGTCTTCCCTTGTATGAACGCTGGTGGGCCAGCCTCAGGGAGAACCTTGTTTTAATAAAGACTTTGAGTGTGATCATGACTGTTGTTGGTGCAGTGCTCGTCAGAAGTGTGTGCGCCTCGCCTGGGAGAAGGAAAATATAAATGAAAAATGGGCAGCGACAAGATGGGCCAAGAAGATTGAAGCCCGAGAAAAGGTACGGTTTTCCACTGGCTGAGTAATGCGCGTCGGACTGCTACTGCTCGTTAAAATCGGGAGCTGTCGAATGAGCCGTGCGTTTTCTGTGGCAGGCTGAGATGAAAGGCAGGCAAGGTGTAGATTTTAAAAGTTGCTACCTGTCTGCTTCCACTTGTACTGTAACAGTCAGGGTGTTTTGTTCAGTCAGGTCTATAGCCACCGTGGTTTTCCCAGCAAACGCCTTAATAGCGAACTAGTTCCAGATACGCAGCTAAACCCGGGTTGGGGCGTTGTTCCTTGTGGGATGCTTTGAAGCACCAAGTTTCACCCCTTGTGTGTGTATCTCAGCTTCGTGATTGGTTCTTTTCAAACAGAAAGCCAAGATGACCGACTTCGATCGCTACAAGGTGATGAAAGCAAAGAAGATGGTAAGTGTTGGGGTGTTGCTTTGTGGGGTAAATGCTTACAGCCTTCCCTTCAGAGCCGCGTGCAGGTGTTGCTAGCCTGGGTTTTGTAGCTGGCGTGGAGCAACGCACAGCGCACGACTGCCTTCAGTTTTCCACGCCCCTTTCATCACTTTCTCTTCAGCAGTTGATCAGGCTTGAACCGTAATGATCTGTGTCCTCCGAGTTAGAGCTGAGGAAGGTAGCTGATGACGCCTTCTTGATGGGTTGCTGGGTTTTGTATATGTAAAGACACACGCACACGTATAATTCTATAATGAAAGTCACTACGCCTGGAGTAGTGGGGTGTCCAGGTTACCAGCGAGAACGATGCTGTCCACCTGGTGTATCAGAACAGATGTTTTAAGCGTAGTGCGTGGTAAGTCTTTTGGCTCTCTAATGTCAGTATAATTGGTTAGCAATGGGTAATTACCAAAAAGGGCAGAATCAAAGTCTAGAATTTAAATGAAGGCATAATATTTGAGCTGTTGCTTTCTTGGTTCTGATGAATAGTAATCACTTTCCCTTTTTACAGAGAAACAGGATCATCAAGCACGAAATGAAGAAGCTCCAGAAGATGGCTTCTAAGAAAGGCAAGAAGCTGGAGAAGCCGGAGAAGGCGCCCAAGTCGGAGAAAGCGCCCAAGTCGGAGAAAGCGCCCAAGTCGGAGAAGGCGCCAAAGGCACAGAAGGCGCAGAAATAAAACGAACTTCTGGTTATGTGTGATTTGGTGTCCTTATTCTGACCCTTGAAAACTGACAAATGGTTAAACACCTGACGCAAGTTGCAGTCCTAAGTGCAGTTTTGCTGTCTCCTGTCTGTCTCCTTTTTCCGTGTCCGAGCGCTGGGGTCTGATGTTCCTGGGGCCATGGGGAGGCGTGTTGGTCACCTTCAGTGGAGGTGATGGTATGGGCAATGCCCCGGGCTCTGTACCTGCTGCCAGTTGAAGTGTTTGCAGGAGGTTGCATCCTAAGAGTTGAAAGCAGCCGGCTGTGGGAATGGTTGGGAATGAACAAGGTGACTTGCGGAGTCTTGGCTGTGAAAGATGAGAAATAACCAATTAGGCTAATTTTTCTGTATATATTTGAGGCATGAACCCAGAGTATGTGTCCCGCTTCGGATGTATGTCCGTGTTAGCAAGAGTGACAAGCTGCTGTTTGGATGCTTTAAATGATTCCGGGGTTTCTGAAGAACTTCCACCCTGCTTTACGTGATGTCTGAGGCCGCAGCTGTCCTGTGAGCACGGGTACAGTAATTAATGACGTAGGGATGAGGTGGATATTGGTGACTTGTGTTACAGAATGCTTGCTTCTCGTGAGTGTGCAAGAGTTCGTCAGGTTGGAGCCAAATCACAGTTCCTGGAATGTTTCAGCATATAATTCCCACTTTTTTTAATGAAGGTTGTAGGAGCTCTAAGTACATTGTCAAATACTCAAATACGTATTTTCAGAGTTTCACTGCTAAGCATGTGCTTTTACAAATGTGCTTTTGAGTTGTTTCAGGGCTGGTGCTGCTTGTGTCAGCCACAACTGGGCACCTGCATGCCCAAACGCCTGGAACCATAGAATCACGGAACGATTTGGGTTGGAAGGGCCCTTACAGACCATCCAGTTCCAACCCCCCTGCCATGGGCAGGGACACCTTCCACCAGACCAGGTTGCTCCAAGCCTCATCCAGCCTGGCCTTGGACACTTCCAGGGATGGGGCATCCACAGCTTCTCTGGGCAACCTGTGCCAGTGCCTCACCACCCTCTCTGGGAAGAACTTCCTGGCATCAACGTTTTCTTGGTGTTTATATGCCCTTGGAAACTGAGTTTGAGCACATGGTTGGTAGGAATGGGTGTAAGAGATAAGGGAAAAAATACTGGAAATGGTGCAAACGGGGATTAAAGCCCGTGTTCAAGCATCTGGAGGTCTTGATTTTTAAATTTGATTTTGAAGTGATTACGTCCACCTACTCTGAAACTCTTTACCTTGAGCTTCATCATCCTGGAGGTGCTTTAAGGTGAAGGAGTTGGTCCTTAGGGTTGTTTCGGGTGTTTTACCTGCTGGTTAAGCTGTTATGTAAGCCTGGGGAAAAAATACGGGTAAAAGTGCCCGTGGAGAAAGATGTGACCTCAACCATGAGTTCCTGAATGCTTTTTCTACGTTTTTGGCTCTTTTTAAGGGTACTTCAGAGGTACCCCGAGCCCCCCTGTGGCTCAGTGTGGTTGGCAGGCCCCCTGCCCCTCAGCCCTGAGTCCTGGGGCGTCTCTGCTGGTTTGTCCTCTTGTTTTTAAAGCTGCGGGGAGGCAGGAAGGTGCCGAAGGAGGGTTCCGTTTCCCAAGGATACCACACGATGGCAACGTGGGTTCCTGGCAAGGCTCTACCCGAGGCGTACCCCAACCGGGCGGTGGTGCTCGGCGCAGGGCCCAGCCAAGAGGCCAGCACGAGTGTTAACGTCCTTATCCCATTCTTTATTTTCCCTTCCTAGTTGGCTGAGGTGTGCTTTGCGGGAGTGAGGGTACTTCTGGGATTGACTTCGTGGAGCTGACCGTGAAGAGCTGACCGTGGACTCGAGGCAAACCTGGTCTGGTTTACAGCTCAGCTCCCCCTCTTTTGATTTTGTCTCCCTGGGTTTGTAGTGCCTGTTCAATGTTCCCAGCCCCATGTGTTTCCCGCCTTTCCCCCTGCCCACGTTGCTGAGGTGTCTTGGAATTCCACGTGCCTGCCTTTCGTTGGGACGAAAAGCTGCCGACGGCTATTCGCAGCGTCGCTGGTGTACGAGGAAGGAGCGGTAGGTGCAGCGAATTAGGGGGGTGGCTGCGGGGTTTGGGCTCTGCTCATTTCGGGTCGTCAGCTTTTGATTCTTCCTCTGTATAGTTTCTGTTCTTTGATTGTTTGCTTTTTTAAAATTTGGAAGTAGTTCTTTAATGTTGTTTTGAGCTTGAAGTTGTGTATACTTCCATTGTGCTCAGGCTTGGTGCACCCCGGTGTCATGGTCTAATTTTAAATAAATGAAGAATTGGTCGGTTTTTCCTCACTTCATTTCAGTCTGAGCGGTCTCCAGGTTGAGTCTTTGCAGCAAACTCTCCCTCCTCCCCCAAAACCTTCCCAGCCACTGTGTGCATCTGAATTAGAGTTGTCTTCCACCTGCAGTCAGCTGCTTGTGCTGATCACCAGCCTAAAAAGGATGCCGTTGCCTCGGCGCAGAGCTGCTTCCTCCTTCCTGAGGTGTGTTGCTCTAGTTCTTCGGACAGAGGAAGCACTTTTTAACCTCATACCAGCAGACGGCTGGCCAAGGGTATTTTTCAGGGTATTTTGTTCTGGGAGCATCTCTCCTTGCATATTGACTGACCCGCTCATCACGGCCGTCAGCAGAGCTGAGCTCTTCCCTCGCCGCCGCTCTGGGCCCCTTGCGGGGTGCGGGTGGGGTTTCGGGGCACCGTGCCGCCGATAAAGGTTTACGTGGTGGGACGTCATCGGGAAGCTCTGCTTTGATGAAAACGATAGACACTTTGGAAAAGTAATGGTGCTCATATATTGAAATGAATGTGGGAATAGTGTCTTTGAGATCAGCTGGAGCTTTACCCAAGGACACGTGGTGGGAAAGCACAACACCTGAGTGTGTTTCACACTAACGCGGCAGCCAAGACTCTGTGGGGCCACGCTTTGACCCTCGCATTCACAGCACAGGAGAGGGGGCCATTGTGAGCTGTGTTCCTGCAGTCAGATGCTCTATCAGGGTGATCTAAAGAGATGATGAGCAACAGGCTTGCGGGCTTTTTCCTTCTTCCTTCTCTTCCTCCCTGGAGCCCCTGATGAATAACTTTAAAGGGATTTTTTTTTTGTTGTTGTTATTTATCTTTTATTTCTACTGCTTGTCTCATTCGTGTTGCACACCTGAGTCTTAGCTCATCCTGGAAGTCTCTGTAGATGATGGGGAAAAAACAAAAAATCAGAGTTTATGGCATAATGAAGTAAATTAAGCCTGACTAGCCGAAAGTGGCATCGTTTTTGCCCTAGTTGCCTGAAGCATTTTTCAAGGTGCAGGGGGAGGCTGGCAAGCTGCTGCTGCTGGTGATGCACGCAGGTCTTCATCCCAGTATTCTTCAACTCCCAGATACCTGAATGTGACCTTGGAAGGGAAGATGTTGATGCCATGGATATGTGCGGCCTGTCTGCTGGCGGTACCACAGTCCTGCTTGAGTGGGAGGCAGGTATCGGGGCACAAGGGCTAGAAATCAGGAGACATGGGGGTGGATGTGCTTGCACAAGGGATAGAAATCAGGAGACGTGGGGGTCGATGTGCTTCTCCAACCCACAGCTTCACAAGAAGTGGGGTGCAGTCCCTGTCACGGCACACTGGTGAGGTTCTCCGGCTCCCTTTTCCTGTCCCAGTGTCCCCTGCTCACGGAGCGTATTTAGGTTACTCTTCAGAAGGCAAAGGCGTGCAGAAATCAGCTGACAGGTAGGAATGACCACTTGGTTGTGGCTGCGCTGACCTTTCTCACTGGCACTGAACTGCACTGGGCTTTGCTGGCAGCCCCGTTGGGACCAGTGGTTTGTCTAACGCCAGCCTGGATCTCTGACACTGCCGATGGCAGATGCTGTGCAGGGAGAGGACATGAGTTTAGTCCCGCAACTACAGTAGCAGGGTTAGGGGTGCTAGAGGATGCACCCCTCTTAGTACCTCTTTTAGATCTACTGTCCATGAATTTGTTCAGTCTTTTGAGTCTGCTCACGCTGCCCTCCACAGTCTTGTAGTAACATATTCCAGAAATCCACTGCTGCTGTGTAGAGGACTGTTTTAAACAAGCCTCCTGCTATGGGGACCAACCAGGGCTGCTTGTCAGTCCTGTACACCGTGTGACATCCTGACCGGCTGCGAGCTTGGAGGTGAAGCTGAGAAAAAGTCATTTCACAGAGAAGTCCATGGAAGGGAGGTGAGTTATGACACGTCCTCATTCCGAGTGCTGTGACTGGGTGTTTGAAGGACCATCGAGTCACAATTCAATAGTTGAATAGTGAATAGAATGAATGCTCCAAGCCTTCAAGATTCCCCCTTTCCACTGCTCCACAGGCGTGTGACAGAGATTCTCAGCCTACTCCCTCTCCTGCCTGAAAGTTCCCAAAACTTAATTCGTCTGATTATTAAGAAACTTTCTAATTGTCGACCTAAATTTATTCACGACCAATTTATAACCAGGAGGCTCCACTTCTTGCTTCTGTAACTGCAGAGCTGTCAGGAAAGATTCATGAGCCCATATGTTGGTCAAGCCCTGTTTTCAGCAGCCACAACTCAAAGCTTTCGGATGAAATGCTGCCTGATTAGTCTGTGTGTTAATACATGCATTTTCTCCCTTCCTACTGACGTGGTGACAGAGGACTTTCCCAAATGCAAAGGTATAGAAGCAGCCAATACAGCGTCTTTGTGGACCCAACTCAAGCATATGCCAGTAACTCCTTCCAGGAAAAGAAACAGATTGCTTCTGTCTTGTCTTCTCTCTCTTTTTTGGGGAGAGAAGTGTTCTGTGCATCAGCTTGTGTTCAGTTTTCTTTGTTTCTGTCTGATCCTGCAGGTTAGAGCTGGAGGTCAGCCAAGGTGCTCTGAGAGAGATGAAGTCATATCTGAGTTTGACCCGTCCCAGGCTTGGGACACTGCTGCATCCACAGTGAACCCAGGAGGGCAGGATCTTCCTCCGGTGAAGATTTTTCTGGGAT